AACAAATAGCAAAAACAAACAAACATAAAACCAGACCTTTCTTCAATCCTTTCAAATAAAGCAGGATAATCATTAGAACATCTGCTGTTTTCCTGGGAATCCTTAACTGTAAGTATCTTCAGACCTCTTTTCCCAAGGTACAGTCGGTTTTCTAGAGGAATCTAGTCTCCTGCCTAGACTATTTAAGCCCACAAGCCGACTTTCTGAGTGAAGTTAGTACAGCCAGAACAAAGAAAAGCAGCAGCCTGAAAAAGTGAATTATTAACATGACTGATATCATAGAACTAGAATTCCTTCACTAAGCACATCCCGATAGATGATTCGTGTCACTCCTGGAAGATGAGGGCAAGGTAGGCATAGAGGAAATGTATCTATATTTTTCCAGTTTTATGAATCAACACTATGCCTCTTCTTTAACTGTTCAAACCTGAAGCAGAGTAGGAAGAAATAAAAGAAAAATGGGAACTCCTTCTATATTATTCCCTTGACCTAAAATTTTATTCATGATAAAAATAAGTAATAGAGATATTATAGTAATCTGCTATGAAAACAAAGATAAAGTTTGAAGAATTCCAGAGGTCTTTTTAGTAAATTAATATATACAGACGGCATATATAGTCTGCCCTTTGAAATCAGAATTCATTACAATTTGCTTTCCCTGAAATTTCACTATAGTAAATGAAATCTAGTAATGCATTTCCAATGAGTGAAATCCTGGAGGAAAGAACACACATTTCAGAAAATTCTGGTAGTTGGCCAAGACTTCCAGATATAGGTTGTTTCTAATATCACTGGAAATTCAGTTATTAAAATGTGGAGGGCACTGTCTAGTTACGGATGATTGATGACCAGTAATCATCAAGGATTCTGGGAGGCAGAAACTGCTACTCTTCTTTCACATTTCGTAGCATTATATTTGTCTTTATTATAAGAAAACAAACTATTTTTGAACATTTCTTTGTCAATTTGGTCAATTGAAAACAAGTTCATGTTTCTATAGTTGTAACTTTACTTTGCTATTTGCACTTAACCATGAGAAAACTCTCTTGCTTTATATTTTTTTCCCTAGCACATGGAAGGAAGACTAGGTTGACCTGTTGGCATTTCTAGTCAGAGAGGTTACTTGGGTGAGTTTACCCAGAGTTGTGGGTCTAACTACAATCAAGGATTCATTGATAATCAAGAATCTCTATTGCAAAATAAATCACGTCAGCCTACACTCCATTTCCATGATGGCTGAGAAAGCAGCAATGGAGGAGGGCTTTGATAAGTGGAGAGAATTCCTGCATCCTCATGGTGATTGGATTGGGCCCTGTTGAAGTTGAAGCCAAAGATAAATTCAAATGATCATTCAAACCTTGAGACAATGAGAGTTCAGTCCTTGGCAGGTCAGGAGTTGAACTAACTGGAGGTAAACTCAATCTAATTAGAACTGCAGTCCAGCATTAGCTAACATCAATTTGTGAAAGAGTCTTGAATACTCAGTACGTCACTTAACATTGTTCACAATGTCTGTCAGAAAAAAAAACTGAGACATGCCAAAAAATTGGCAGTCAATAGAAGAAACATAAATGAACTGAAGACTGCAATTAATAGATGGCTGTTTTCTTGATAAGTGCTTTCGAGTTGGTTATGACTCATAGCAACCCTATATAGGGTAGGGTTTCCAAGGAGCGACTGGTGAGTTAGATAAGCACATTAAAACAACTATTATATAAAATTTTTAAATTATACCAGAAAATATCAATTTAATGGATGAAGGGAATTTCTGGGGGGAAAATGAAAATTCTAAAAAATGGATATTTTGTTGTTGTTAAGTGCCGTCGAGTCGGTTCCGACCCATAGCGACCCTGAACAGGGTTTCTGAGGCTGTAAATCTTTATGGGAGCAGAAAGCCTCCTCTTTCTCCCGTGGAACAGCTGGTAGTTTTGAACTGCTGACCTTGTGGTTTGCAGCCCAATTCGTAACCACTACGCTACCAGAGCTTTTAACTAGAAGAAAAAGTACCAGTGAACTTGAAGATAGGTAACTTGGCATTGTTGTTGTTGTTCGTAGGTGCCATAGAGTCAGTACCGACTCATAGTGACCTTATGCACAGCAGAACAAAACACTGCCTGATCCTGGGCTAACCTCACTATTGTTGCCACGCTTGAGCCCACTGATGCTGCCACTTTGCCAATCCATCTCTCTGGGGGTCTACTTCTTTTTCTATGACCCTCTACCCTACCAAACATGATACCCATCTCCAGGGACTGGTCCCTCCTGACAATATGTCCAAAGTATGAGAGATGAAGTTTGGCCACCCTGGTCTCCAAGGAGCACTCTGGCTGCACTTCTTCCAACACAGATCTTTTGTTCTTTTGGAAGCCCATGGCACTTTCAATAATCTCCTCCGACACCATAACTCAAAAGCATCAATTCTTCTACGGTCTTCCTTATTCATTGTCCAGCTTTCGTATGCATATGAGGTCATTGAAAATACCATGGCCTGGGTCAGGAGCACCTTAGTCTTCAAGCTGACATCTTTGCTCCTCAACACTTTAAAAAGGTCTGATGCAACAGATTTGCCTAATGCAATACATCATTTGATTTCTTGACTGCTGTTTCCATAAGTATTGATAGTTGATCCAAGAAGAATGAAGTCCTTGACAACTTCAATCATTTCTCCATTAGATTGAAGGCATTACCTACACTGAAACACCAGGGGAAATAAGGTTGGGAGGAAACATGAACAAGCCATCAAAGACCTGTGGGATAATAGTAAGCAATCTCCATGTATCTTTGAAGAGAAAAGATGTACCCCCCCCCAAAATTTTTTAAGCACTAGTAACTAATAACCTTCCCAATTTAACTTAAAAACCAACCACTTAATATGCAAGAAGCTCAGCAAACTGCAACCAGGAAAATACAAAGAAAATTATACCCAAGAGCGTTGTATTCAAACTGTTGAAAACCAGACGATGTTCTTGTGAAGGATGAATAGGAGTTAGTCAGACACGGTGATCAGAGATGAAGGGAGATTGTTTAAGGCAGAGGAGACAATTTCTTTAAAGGCCCACAGCAAATGTTTCTAGGAATTAAAGAAAGTTGTTGGCATTAAAATAGACAGTTAGAAAGCATAGTGACAATTGAGTTTAAAGAAGTGATCAAGAGTCATAAAGAGGGCTTTGTGAACAGCACCTGAAGCTGGGTACATGGAAAATATAATTATAACATGGAAACCATAATGGGAATATTCTTTATAAAAAGTCACTATGATTACAATGTTTAGAATAGATTGGAGGGACACAAAATGGAGGCAGGAAGAGGCTTTTGTGATAATCTGTTGTTATTGTCCAGGTGCCATCAAGTTGGTACAGACTCATAGTAACCCTATGCACAACAGAACAAAGCACTGCCCAGTCCTGTGCCAACCTCACAATTGTTGCTACACTTGAGTCCATTGTTGCTGCCACTGCGCCAATCCATCTTGTTGGGGGGTATTACTCTTTTTAGCTGGTCCTCCACTTTACCAAACATGATGGATGTCCTTCTCCTGACAATATGGTCCCTCCTGACAATACGTTCCAAGTATGAGAGATGAAATCTGGCCATCCTGGCTTCTAAGGAGCATTCTGACTGTACTTCTGCCAACACAGATTTGTTTGTTCTTTTGGTGGTCCATGGTACTTTTAATATTCCTCTTCAACACTCAAAGCAACCCTGTACAGGGTTCCGAGGAACAGCTGGTAGGTTTGAACTGCTGACCTTTCAGTTCAAACTGATCTTGTGGTTAGGTGCATCATCCTGCAGTGCCACACCAGAACGCTTTCCAGTGCTCGGCACACAGTTGTTGTTATGTGTCATTGAGTCAGTTCCCACTCATAGCAATAATATATCGGGTTTCTGAAGAGCAGCTAGTCGGTTTGAAACACCAACCTTTCAGTTAGCAGTACAATGCTTATTTTACACACATAGGAGAGAATATCTATTGAAAGAATGGATGGAAGGATGACTCTTAAATCTCTGGTAACATAGCTGGGTCATAGTTGAACCTCAAAACTGTGTTCTAAAATTAATAATGAACTTTCAATAAAAAGCAGAGCGGTAATGGTGCTGTAAGATAAACACTGGAGCCAACAGTGAAACAGGCCGTTCAAAGCCCCCAGTCCTCCATGGGAGAAAGATGAGACTATCTGCTCCCAGAAAGGTTTGTAATCTCAAAAACCTTATACAGGCTTACTATGAGTCAGAATTGACTTGATGGCAGTGGTTTTTTGTTTGTTTGAAGAATTTACAGTCTAAGGGGAAAAACCAGGCTCATCTAGACCTTGTCAAGGTGAAATGATAAAAAATACAGTCGCTTAGAACTGTCACACTATCTTAATTACTATTGTAGGTCTAGCACAGTACCTAGAAATAGGTTGTTTCAACAACAGATGTGTATTGAAAGGTTAACAATGAAAAATATTTAATTATATGCAACTAGCTATGGACATGCAGGGCTATACATTTTAAAATATTCCTCACATCTACCTCTCATTTCTAAGTGTGCAAAAGTACAAAGCTCTTTCCAGGTGACTGTTGCTGCGTTTTTTCACAATCCTTCAAAGTGGAAGGCACATCTATAGGTTTGTGCCTCATCTATGGCAGTTGAACCACTTTACTTCACCTTATAAATCCTTTGGGAGCGGGTCTTATCTGCTCCTTTAGAGCATAAACCTCCCAGATGCAGCAGGCTCAATCTGGCTCGATTTTTGTATTCTCCACAATAATAGACTTAACTAGACTTAGCTAACCTCAAAGGAAGCAATTCCTGGTTTATTTAAATTTTGCCACCTTTTAAAGATTTTTACCACCCAAACTAGAGACTCTTTCCACCCCAAGTTCCCCAGTCTGACGTCACAATCCGGATGTAGAACTACCAATCCCAAAATGCTGAGCGCAAGGGCGGTGTCGCGAGGAGTCGCTGAGTGACTAGCGAAGGAGGCGTTTCCTTCCGGAAAGAAGGGTCCCGGAAGCGGGGCTTTGGGGAGGTGTTTGAACTCTATTACCGGGTTGGGCGGGTCCAATCTGGGAGGAGTCTGTGAAAGAGCCCTGAGTGCCCCGCCCGCTGAGGAGATGGATGAGGATGGGCTTCCTCTTATGGGGTCGGGCATAGACCTGACCAAGGTTTGTAAAAGATTGAGTTAAACTTTCGGAGAGCGGGGAGGACTAGGAAGGAACGCCGGGTTCCCAGAGAGACTCCACCTCTCCAGGCCCCACCCTCCCCCTGCCCTGGGGCCTCTCTTCTGCTAACCACTGAGGGAGACCCAACCTTTTAACTGGTAAAGGGGTCCCCTCAAGATCTGATTAAGGGGATCAGATATTGTGACTCCCCCCCCAGCCTTTGCTTCCCGTGTCACGTGTCTCTATGCGCTGGGATGACCAATTGGCAACTTGGGCCAGTTATGATCTCGTAATCGTAACCCTACTACTTTGATTCGACCCACAAGTGTTTTTGTGTATTTGCCTTTCCGTTCTAAAATGTGTAAATCCAGAGTCAGTACTCCAACTTTTTTGCCGCCTCTGTCACTTTCCAACAACCCGCCTCGCCTCAGAGTTTTGTTAAGTGCCATAGAGTCTAGAGTCGGTTGCGATTCTGCGACCCTGGATAGGGTTTTCGATGAGCGGCTGGTGGGTTTGAACTGCCGACCTTGTGGTTGGCAAGCCAGTAATTATCCTACAACACAACATATGCCCGTGTATTCAAACACTTGTGCGATGTACATTCCTTCTATACAAATCCTTTTTGTTTTTACATAATACAGGTGCCAGCAATTCAGCAGAAAAGAACGGTGGCATTTCTAAACCAATTTGTGGTGCACACAGTACAGTTCCTCAACCATTTTTCTACAGTTTGTGAGGAGGTAGGTCCTGTGATGTTGATTTATAGTGTAGCGGATTGACTTTGTTTTTTATTTTTTGAAGATGGCAAATGGAGTCAAGAGGAATCTGTCTTGGTTCAAGTACCATGGCCTCTTGTCACCCAGTTGTGTTAATACACCTTCAGCCCTCTTTGATTAAGTTCAAGTTGTTGTTGTTATGTGCCTTCACCCCCAGAGGCCCTGGGGTGGGGGTGGGGGGAAGGATAGTTCAGGCTGGTGTAGCGTGACTGCACAGTATCAAAGGGATCCCAAGATTTCACAGTTGAAAACAAATTTGACTTTGAAATTTGTTACTTGTTCTCTTACCCTCAAGATTTACCTTTTAAGTACATAATGCTTGAGTTTGTATACAATTATCCAAAAGATGCCTCAGAGGTGCCTAGAAATCTAACTTTGGCATCAAAGATCATTATGGAAAAAAAATTTTTTTTGGAAAATAACTCATAAGTGAGAATTAAGTACCAGTTTAAGGATTAGGTATTTTCGTAAAAAATATGAAAGGAGATGGGGAGGGTAGATTGAAAACAGATTAAAATTGAGTTTAAGAAAGAAGAAATGGATAAATCATGGGGCTTAGATAATTGTGTGAGTTGACTGAATAAACAGTATGGAGTTCATTCTGTCTCATACAAGGTAAGCACTGGACTGCTAACTACAAGGTCAGTCATTCAAAACCACCAGGTGCTCCTTGGAAACCCATAAAGGGTCAGTATGAGTTGGAACTGATAAGACGACACTTAACAACAACCTTAGCAAGTAAAATGTTGTTGGATGTGTTATTATTAAGATCTTCCTGGCAATAGAAAAACAGTTTTCAGTAGATTTCCACTATTGTTTTTGTCTAATCACAATCTCTTTGCCGCCTCATTAAATCAAAGAAAGTAAGATATATGGTAAATGATAAAGAGGATCTGTTCAATGTGTTTTATCCGATAGCAGACCCAGAAACGAGGTGTTTGCTTCCATGAACTTTATCTAGTACTATGCCTCTCTAAATGGGTAATAGAATTGACTGAATGAAAAACAGTAAGCTAAGGATTTAGCCCTTCATTCAGTCTTTGCACTTTACATGAGAGTAGGATGAAATTTCTGGAGAGGGAATATCCCAGGATTGTTACAGGGAGGAATAGATAACTCCATCCCTATGGGCTTCATCGCCAGATTGAAAAAGGAAGACAAGACAAGAAGCAAACACTCCTAAGAAAGCAGCTTGATCAAGCCAGTCTGAGGCAGGGCCCTTTTGTAGCGCTTAACAGTTTTCAAAGCTTTATGAGTGATTTCTGTTTGATAAACTAACAGGAAAGATAACAGTTATTGTTGTCATTAAGTGCTGTAGAGTCAGTTATGACTCATAGTGACCCTGTATAGCATTTCTGAGGAGTGACTGGTGAGTTTGAACCACCAACCATTCAGTCCAGTGCTTATCCTACAGCGCCACACCAGTAATTATCTCTTATATACTGATTGCTTTTAAGTCGGTGCTTCCTAAGATTCCCTTATCAGTTTCCTCTGTCAGCTTCTCCCCCAATTGTTTTGGCTGTATCACTATTTCTTAGTTGTTGCTTGAACTCTAGGAAAAGGTTTGTTGACCAAAAACTCATTAACTTAAAGATAGTTGTTTGTCTTTTTTTTCCTTGAAGAGTGATAACCTAAAGAGATTACAAGTTGTATTTTACAATTCAAATTTAGATAATGATGTCCGTTATAGACTAATCAGTAGGATGACAGCTGATATTTATTTCGTCATTACTCGGTACCAATGGGTCTTTCTTGACTATCAGCTGTGGGTAGACTTTTTACTAATGACTACATGATAATCAAGGAGCTCTGGTAGCGTAATGGTTACGAATCGGGCTATGAACCACAAGGTCAGCAGTTCGAAACTACCAGCTGTTCCACAGGAGAAAGATGAGGCGTTCTGCTCCTGTAAAGATTTACAGCCTCGGAAACCCTGTACAGGGTCACTATGAGTCGGAACCGACTCCACGGCACATACCAACAACAACAACGTGATAATCATCATAGCCCAGCCGTTTGAGAGAGGTTCAGTTACCCCAAGCTTATCGACTAGAAACTGAGATGTTGTTGTTGTTGTTGTTAAGTACTATGGAATCGATGCCAACTCATAGTGACCCTGCACAGGGTTTCCGAGGCTGTAAATCTCTATGGGAGCAGAAAGCCTCATCTTTCTCCTGTGGAATGGCTGGTACTTTTGAACTATTGACCTTGAGGTTAGCAGCCCGATTCGTAACCACTACGCTAGCAGAGCTCCTTAGAAACTGAGATGTAGAGAGGTTTAAATCATTGCTTATTCATTCATTCATTACTGTTTTTGTTGTTAAGTGCTGTTGAGTCGCTTCTGACTCATAGCAACCGGATTTAGCGTTTCTGAGAAGAGGCTGGTAGATTTGAACCACCGACCTTATGGTTAGCAATCCAGTGCTTATTCTATAGTGTGACACTACGACTCCCTTATAAACTGTTGTGTAATTTGCCCACAGTTACATGGCTAGATCTTGGCTGAAAGTAGAGAATACCAGAAAGATGTTTGCCTGTGCTTTATTGACTGTACAAAGGCATTTGATTGTGTGGATCATGACAAGCTATGGACAACATTGTGAAGTATGAGTATTCCAGAACAGTTAATTGTGCTCATGAGGAATAGGTACATGGACCAAGAGGCAGTTGTTCGAACAGGACATGGGAACACTGAATGGTTTAAAATTAAGAAAGGTGTGCGACAGAGTTGTATTCTTTCACCATACTTATGCAACCTGTATGCTGAGCAAATACTACGAGAAGCTGGGTTATATGAAGAAAAACATTGCATTGGGATTGCAAGGAAGACTCATTAACAACCTGCGATATGCAGATGATACAACCTTGCTTACTAAAAGTGAAGAGGACTTAAAATACTTACTGATGAAGATCAAAGACCACAGCCTTCAGTATGGATTGCATATCAATGTAAAGAAAACAAAAATCCTCACCACTGGACCAATCAACTACATTCTTATCAATGGAGAAAAGATTGAAGTTGTCAAGGACTTCATTCATCAAGAATCAAATATCAACACTTATGGAAGCAGCAGTCAAAAATTCAAACGACGTATTGGATTAGGCACATCTGCTGCACAAATCCTTTTTAAAGTGTTGAAGAACAAGATGTCAGCTTGAGGACTAAGGTGCGCCTGACCCAGGCCATGGTATTTTCAGTAACCTCATATGCATGCGAAATCTGGACAGTGAATAAGGAAGATCATAGAAGAATTGATGCTTTTGAGATATGGTGTTGGAGGAGAATACTAAAAGTGCCACAGGCTGCCAAAAGAACCAACAGATCTGTGTTGGAAGAAGTACAGCCAGAGTGCTCCTTGGAGGCCAGGAAGGCCAAACTTCAATTCTTATACTTCGGACACATTGTCAGGATGTACCAGTCGCTGGAGAAGGATATCATGTTTTGTAAGGTGGAGGGTCAGAGAAAAAGAGGAAGACCCCCAGCTGGATGGATTGGCAAAATGGCAGCATCGACGGGCTCAAATGTGACAACACTTGTGAGGTTGGCCCAGGACTGGGCAGTGTTTCTTTCTGTTATGTATAGGGTCGCTATAAGTTGGTGCCAACTCAATGGCACCTAACAACAAAACAACATGACTGGAGAGTAACAGAGCTAAGATTTCATCTCTATTAACTTGAAAAGCCAAAAATATCTGATAAGGAACTTGTTTTCATCATTTTTAAGTGAGAGAATTGCTTTTCTTTTAGTTAAAACCTTAAACAAGAACCAAAGAGACTATGTTTCTGTCTTCAAAAAATGAACTTTAATTATTAGTTTTTAAACATAGGATGAGAATGGGTTGGGGAGTTAAAAGAACAGCCCCCCTCTCCAAACTGTGGTGGTGCTTTTATGCCGTGCAGTCAGTTCTGACTCACAGCGACCCTATACAGGGTTTCCAAGGCCTCATCTTTCTCCCTCAGAACAGTTGGTAGTTTCATACTGCTGACCTTGCGATTTGCAGCCGGATTCTTAAGCACCACGCTACCAGAGCTCCTTGGTAGCTTTCTAAACTGTACCAAACCCAAACTGTAACAGCTAAACTCTAACTGGAATTGAACTTGAAACAAATCACTAGAGCTCTTTCTTCATTACTACTACTGTGTTTAAAAGGGAAATTCATACAAAAGAAGTCTGTGTAGAATTCAACTTTTTTCACTTTCTGCATGCTGTGCTACTTTTTGACTCTTCTAATGACAGTCATCAGACTGGCAGAAAGGCTAGAAGACAGAAGAGAAAGTAGTTGACTCAGATTCAAGTTACAGAACGGCTTAGGATCATCTCTTCTTCTTTCACAGAAACTGTATTAACATTTGTGTCCTGACCCTAGTTAGTAAAATCTTATGGTGGCCCATTGGCACTGCAAATTTTTTAAAATAGAGTGTTAGTCCAAGCTCTATGACTAATGTAGGGAACACTGAATATACACTTAACCTTAGAGTGAATTGTAAAGTCAAAGGTACTCTTTAAACAGAACACAGTCTCATGTGCTACTATAACTTACACTTAGAATGTACCTAGAATTCTCGACTTTTAATTATTTTTTTAAATATTTAAAAATGTACCGTCTGTACAACTCTTCAAATACAGGGAAGAGTGCTGAGAATTATCAAATGAATTTAAAATATTTATGACACTTATCTTCATCCAATATTTAAGCCAACAACCATCAGACTTGACCTTCAACTAGATAATCTATTGCTTAAAACTCTTGTTTGCTGCCACATGTTTTACAGCTGCTGGGCTTAAGTGTCATATGAACCTTAATAAAAAGCATTGTTTGCTTTACTTTCTGACATCTAGGACATATACGAGGGGTCTCCAAAAAGTTCATGGACATAGTTTATTATCTTTTCATTCCATTTTTCCATGTACATTTAAAGTCTCCCTCATACGATCTAGTGGTATAAAGCAGAGATCCATTATT